CAGGTGAACTTCCAGGTGCCCTCAGATCCTTCAGTCCCAACACTTCTTAAACAGTTGACTTAAGTATCTACCTATAGATCTGTCTTTTTTAGTTTTTGCCACAAAAACGACTCCTGGCTGTGAAGAATGGCAAAGAGGAAAGGCAGCCTGACTCCTGCAGCCTCACACGTGAGTCAGATGGAAGTTGATGAGACAGATGACTCTGGCTTTGTCATAGAGACATATCAGGATGTGTATGATACTATTTGTAGAGGAAGATCATTTGCAGTGGAGGGAGTATTATGGCTAGAAAAGCTTGTTCCCACATTTTTGAGTTGAGGAAATCAGTTGAGTTGAACAGTGGAAAAGGGAGAAGGCCCTGGCTGATGACCGTGATTTTCTTCCTTTAAAGTTTCTGTAGCAGGATCTTTGTATATATGCCTATGTGCTGGTATGGGGAAGAGGAATAGATTATCAGGAATCTGCCTTTGACAGAGACATTTGAATGCAAACATCATTGCTTGAAACGTAGAGGAAGCCTTCTCCCCAGTCAGAGGTAAGCACACAAGTGGATGGATGCAGAGAACCTGCCGTTCCCCTGGACTCACATCAAGCTACGTGGGCCCACTCCAACACAATGCAGTTGGGAATGGCCCCTTCAGGGTTTGGACAAGGAGAAAGCAGTCCCCAACCCCTGCATGGATGTGGAAACTGCCAAAGGATCATTTGCTTCTGGAGTGCCAAGTGCAGGCACACCAGGCAAGAAAACGCAACTGAGGAGCAGTGGCCTTTTGCTAGTAAGACCATCATCTCTGGAGTAAAAGGGCCAGTGGCTTGCTGGTTATAGTGACAGTCACATGTGTGCTCAGCATCTCCATTGCGTGGATGGCTGGATCAAGCTGCCTCTTTGGCTCTTGGTTAATCAGTGGTGAATGGGTGGGTAAGTTTAGAATTCCAGCTAAATATGTCTGGTTTCAAAGACGTATTCTGCTCAGAAGCTTAGCTTCTGTTTCATCCTAACACTTGGCTGCTGAGTTGCTCTGTGTTTAAATTCTAGGCTTTAAGTGGCAGCTGTGGATCCACTCCTACCACCTCGCCATGTGGTTTTGCTATAGATAGTACAGTCTGCAGCTGGGGTAAAGTCAAGAGGACTCAGCCATGTGTTTCTCAGACTGTTTTTCAGGAAAACTCAGCAAGACAGAGTTTCACTCTTGTTGCCCAGACTGGAGTGCAATGGCGCGATCTTGGCTCACCACAACCTCTGCCTCCCGGGTTCAAGCAGTTCTCCTTCCTCAGCCTCCCTAGTAGCTTTGATGACAGACATGTACCACCACGTCCGGCTAATTTTGTATTTTAGTAGAGACGGGGTTTGTCTCTATGTTGGTCAGGCTGGTCTGGAACTCCCGACCTCAGGTGATCTGCTCGCCTTGGCCTCCCAAAGTGCTGGGATTACAGGCATGAGCCACTGTGCCCAGCCAAACTCAGCAAGATTTGATTGAGCATCTGCTGTGTTCTCTTGGTATAGTTCTCCCAGTAAGGAGTAAACGTAATTCCTGGTGCTCTCCTGCTCCTTTCTGTCCCCTTTTGATTGCAGCAGACATGCTCTGCTTCATCACGGGGAGAGAGCTTCATGCTATTTTAAAGACCCCACAAGGGATTAAAAACCAAAGGAAAAAATTACCTTCTAAAGTTATCAGAAAGTTCTGATATCTTGTACTGATTGGTGGGAGCCAATATCTCCTGGTTCTGCTTTGTTTTGGGGGACTCTACAGTACCACCCCCAGGGGCAGGGCTAACAGCCTCTTTCCCATTCGCCTTGTCTCCTCACACCTGACTACAGCCTCCCTCTTAGGGATGTCTACATGGGACCCTTTTACACCAGTCTATACGCATGATCAGCCTCAGGCAGACACTTGGGTCACAGCACAGGACAACTTGCTCTACCAGGCAGGGCAGGACACCAGCATCTGGTCTAGACAGATCTTTGAAGTAGCTGTATTGGGAAAGGAAGGAAAATTGGCCCAATCCCACGTTTCAGAACCACTAACTGCTGCTGTCAGAGAAAAACTTGTTACATGAAGTTTCCACAGGCCAGCCCAGTTTTTCCAGCAGCTTCCATTCTAACATACCATTATGGCAGAAAAATACCTGAGTATAAATGGTGATAATGAAACCTATTGTAAAAGTCCACTGGATATTTCTAGGGCTCAGGGCTAAGACAGAGGAACCAATTAACCCATTTATGCTAGAGGTTACAAACTTTTTTGTGAAAAATCAGACTTTAGTGATGATCTTGAGCAGTAGGATATAAATAACTCCTGGGTTAGCGTTCCAATAATGGAACATGAGGCATAAGTGGGTTAAAGCATCTGCCCAGTAGCTAAGGGCCAAGTTCTGGTGGCACATGATCCTGGGGTTGGAGTCCAGGCTCTGCCACTTAGTAGCTGTATGTGTGACCAGGTTACTTAACCTCACCAAGCCTCTTTTTTTTTTTTTTTTTTTTTGAGACAGAGTCTCGCCCACCACCACGCCCGGCTAATTTTTTGTATTTTTAGTAGAGATGGGGTTTCACCGTGTTAGCCAGGATGGTCTCAATCTCCTGACCTGGTGATCCACCCGCCTTGGCCTCCCAAAGTGCTGAGATTACAGGTGTGAACCACCGCACCTGGCGATTTTTTTTTTTTTTTTTTGAGATGGAGTCTCGCTCTATTGCCCAGGCTGGAGTACAGTAGCATGATCTCATCTGCCTTCTGGGTTCACGCCATTCTCCTGCCTCAGCCTCCCAAGTAGCTGGGACTACAGGCGCCCGCCACCACACCAGCTAATGTTTTATATTTTTAGTAGAGACGGGGTTTCACCGTGTTAGCCAGGATGGTCTCGATCTCCTGACCTCGTGATCCGCCCGCCTCGGCCTCCCTAACCTCACGAAGCCTCTTAATTTCTTTATCTGTAAAATGGGTATAATAGTAATCTGTAGCACAAAAGGTGTTGGGCAAATTCTATAGAATAGTGCATATGGCGTGCTGGGCCCTGGTGTGCCATCAGCACTTACTAAAGGTGAATCTTTGTTACAGTTCCAGCAGCATTCAAAATGCCATGCCAATTCAGACTTTTTTTTAAAACAAATCTCGTGCAGACATTACACAGTACTCTTCAGCCTCTGACCCTTCAGCAGTGGATCTCACTGTTATCCTGTGACTGTGTAATTTTGAAAGTGAATCGAAAAATAATGAGTCAACCAGATCTGAAGTGGATTAAAGCGACACTGTCAGGGTGCTGGCACCCTAAGTGGGCCTTATACTAAAAAGCTTCAGTTCCTGCTAAAAGCACCTTCTGATCCTTGACTACAGTGGGGTTCGATGGCATACCTCCTTCCTGTGAAACTCAAGTCAAAATCCTTTTATCGGCCTGCCTCATTCTGTATCCTTGCACACATGGCTGCTGTGGAAGTTGGCCCAAGATCTACTCTTCCCAGCCTGAGATATCTTGTGGCTCAGACTGACCGAAGCATCTGGAAGGTGGGCAGGAACAGTTCCAAGATGGCTGGATTGTCCTCCCCCAAAATAAAGACAGAGATCATCCCTGTTTCTTCTCCTGTATGTGAACCTGGTGGATGCTCCAGAATCGAACCAAAACACTACCATGAATAAGAGATGACTGCACTCCTCTGACACAACTTCCTATTTTTGTCTTTGTTCTTCAAAAGATCTAAACAGTTACTAAATCCTGTTATGCTGAAGGTGGGGAAGTTAGAAAAATAGAACATCTCCTGACAGGTAGAAGACGGGATCCTTGGAGGCATTCCTTTGGGATTTCATTTTACCTCCATCTCGTTTGTTGTCCAGTTTCCTTTTATAAGGATTAAGCAGGCATCCTGCTGGCTAGAATCCTGTGACTTCCCTGGAGCCCCAAATTCTTGTCTAACCACATTTCTAGTCATGGTTCCTGCAGGAGACATCCACTCAAACCACCTGTTACTGAGGCACCAAGCAACCCTAGAGGCAGTTGGCCTCTGGCCCTAGCAGGAGCAAGATCTCAGGCCATCCCACCAGGCGGCCAGCCTCGGCCCCTCACCGCAGCCTTGCAGAGTGGGCTCTGCAGAGAAGCCGATTTGTGGACAGTGCCACCCTCCATCCTGAGCCATGTGGCTCATATGGTTGCAGCCATTTTTGAGCCAAGGAGAGGGCCCCTTCTAGGTGCAGCTGACCTGGGAATGCTAGCCAGAGCGGCCAGAGGAGAGGAGTGGGGGAAGGAGAGAGGTATCTCTTGCTGGCCGTGGGATCTCATCTCCTTTTGTCTTGTTTAGGTTTCTCCTCTGCCTCCTACTTAAAGGTCCATGTTAAAACCCACCACGGTGTTCCCCTTCCCCAGGTCTCCAGGCACCAGGAGCCCATCCTGAATGGGGGAGCAGCGTTCCACTGCGCCAGGACCTATGGCAACAAAGGCAAGCGACCCCTTGCTCTGCACTTTGCTTCTCTGCGCAGACTGTGTTGTGGGGGCGCTGGGCTGGGCGTGGGGAGGCGGGAAGGCTGCCGACTTTCTGGCTGCCTTGAGGAGACTCAGAGATCTGAGTGGCAGTGGCCTCCAGGACAAAAGTCACAGTGGGTATCTCACTCCAGGGCAGTGAGTGAGGCTTTAGGGCACTGCCGAGATCCAGCCTCCGCCTCCTCTTCCCCAGCCCTTCTCCCTTCCTCCTGGCCAGCCCCCACTGTCTGGAGCCCTGCAGGGATGCCCCGGGCCCTGGGCAGAAGAAGAGCCCCGCATGATGAGCCACTATGGGCCTGTCACTGCCTGCTGCCCTTTAGGATGGTGTGGAGCTGCGGCTGAATGCTTTCTCCTCTTTTGACCCAGTGGGCCGATGGGAGCCAATGTCTGGCTTGTCTCACAATAGGGGTGGTTGATTACTGTGAGTGGCCCTTTCTGGAGAGCCTCTGGCTATGGTTGTGAGATGCATGGCAATAATGAGCTATCTGACTCCTCTGACTTGGGAGTTGGTTTGCAGAGAGCTCCCCCAGGCCCACCTTCACTTGTTGATTCAGGTTGTTTTGTTGTATGTCACGTTGTTGTTGCCTTGGGGATGAGGCCAGGGGCTTGGCAGATGGTAGAAATAGCAGAGATGGCATGCTCCATGCTCCCATCACAGACCTCCCTTCCCGGCACGTCGCTCTGGACCCAGGCAGGAAGCTGCTGATTGGTGGAGGACTCAGTGTGGGCCCGGCAAGGCAGAGCAGCCAGGGTTGTCTCTTGGCCCAGCTTGTCTGGGGCCTAGGGTGGGGACACCCAGCCGACTGAGAAGTACAGAGTTGCTTTCAATCTCTGTCCTTTGGCTGCTTGGCCCTGGAAGGGTTTTGGCAGAAGGAAGGCGGTAAGAACAGGGCTCATGTTTGCAGCATTAGGAAAAGGATTGGCTTCTGTCTGAGCCATTGATGGGGTCTACCCAGGTTAAGGACCTGATGGCTCTGGTTCTGCCTGGCTTGCTACAGTGCAGCTAGTCTGGTGCAGGAGGCGAAGCCACTGTCACACTGGCTCGGCATCATCAGAATACCAATTTTACCCCCAGAGGCACCCAAAAGAGTGCCTAGGAGTTGGGGGTCTTTGAGTTGTTCTGGGCAGCAGTAGCAGAGTTGCCCTCTCTGTATCCCTTCCTTGAAGCAGGCTGAGATGACGGTGAGCAGTACACGTGCAGCTGCATGAAGAGTCCACAGCAAGGGAGGCTGGCAGCCCTAGGGCCCTGCCATTTCACCCCTGTAGGCACTCCAGTCTCCCAGACTGACCAGCTGACCCTTCGCGGGTTCTGCCAGGACAGTGGCTGGCCAACAGCTGCCCTCCACAGGTCTGTGAGCTGGCCCCTCATGACCCCTCCAGAGGGGGCATCTCCAGAGCCTGGCCTCATCTCTCTCCTGTATTTTGTTTTTTTGTAGAAGGCCAGAAATGCTCACATCAGGATCCGATTGAGAGCTCTGACTCCTATGGTGACCTCTCAGATGCCAGCGACCTGAAGACGCCGGAGAAGCAGAGTGCCAATGGCTCTTTCTCCTGCGACATGGCAGTTCCCAAAAACAAAATGGAGTCTGATGGGGAGAAGAAGTACCCATGCCCCGAATGTGGGAGCTTCTTCCGCTCTAAGTCCTACTTGAACAAACACATCCAGAAGGTGCATGTCCGGGCTCTTGGGGGCCCCCTGGGGGACCTGGGCCCTGCCCTTGGCTCACCTTTCTCTCCTCAGCAGAACATGTCTCTCCTCGAGTCCTTTGGGTTTCAGATTGTTCAGTCGGCATTTGCGTCATCTTTAGTAGATCCTGAGGTTGACCAGCAGCCCATGGGGCCTGAAGGGAAATGAGGCAGCTGCTCTGTCCCCACGGCAACAGCCATTTGGGGACTGCTGGGAAATGCTGTGAATGCGGAGGGAAGTGATGTTTGGGTTCTGTAGCTGAGAGATTTTTATTCATTTTTAACTGCCCCCCAACCCCACCCAACTCCTTCTCTACCACCCATTCTCCCAATGGTCTTTAGAAATAGATTTTCATCTGATATTCTACAGAAATATCAATGAGACTTGGTATGGGACAGGGGCAGAAAACACTACATAGGCCTCCAAGGCAAAACCAGTCCCAGTTTCTCTAATGGGAAGAAGCTGGAATTCCTGGTGCTCAATTCTTAGTGACCCCAATCCTATACCCAAATCTATGGTATTCTGGGACCTCAGTGATTTTGGTCCCCTCCCACTTCTGTAGTTCCTCATCCTCCCTTCCCATATCCTTCAAAAGAACCACACTAGGGTCTCCACCCACTTATACAATGCGGATGCCCAACTGTTTTTAAGGAAGCCAGAAGCATCCCATGGACCATGGGGTGAGTGTCCTCCAAGAGCCCCCCTGAGCTCCGCCCTCTGTCTGGAGGGCTCCAGACTCCTGAGCCCTGCTTGGAGGCGAGCATTTTCATTGCTAGGACAAGCTCAGCTATTGAGGACACCCCCACCCCAAATTTCAGTTCTTATGTGATTTTAACCATTCAACATGCTGTTGGGTTTTTAATTCTCTAATTATTATTATTATTGTTATTATTTTTTAGGACCAGTTGTAGTGAATTGCTACTGAAAGCTATCCCAGGTGATACAGAGCTCTTTGTAAACCGCAGTCACACATTAGGGTTAGTATTAAACTTTGTTTAGATGTACCATAATTAACTTGGCTAGTTGATTGTTTGAAGTCTATGGAAGAAATAGTTTTATGCAAAATTTTAAAAAATGCCAGTCTGGTCAGGGAAGTAGGGGGTTTCAATGCAGTTGGGATCCAGGAAGGTGGGACAGCCAGCAGGTAGGGACATTGTGTACCTCAGTTGTGTCACATGTGAGCAAGCCCAGGTTGACCTTGTGATGTGAATTGATCTGATCAGACTGTATTAAAAATGTTAGTACATTACTCTATCTGCTCCCTTGAGTCCAGTTTTTCAGCTGTGGGGGTCTTTGGGACCCAGAGGTGGGCAGCACCTGGGGTGGGAGTGGGATCCCAGGAGACCCCTTTTCTACTTCATTGTACCAGTTCCACTGGGATTGACAGGTGGATGGTCCCACTGAAGACTTAGAATGCCAGAATTCACTCATTTGTTCAACAAATATCCATTGCTTGTCTTTACTACTTGTGTGCCAGGCCTGGTTTCATGCTCTTGGGGTATGGTGGTGAACAAGACACCACTGTGAGGCTTAATGGGAGAGACAGACAACTTAAATATGAGTTCAGATAATGAGAAATACCAGGAGAAAAACTGGGCAAGGTGAGGGGACAGTGACAGCAGGAGGGTAAGTAGGGTGGACCAGGGAGGTATGAAGTGGGGTTGGGGCTCTGGGAGGGAAGACTTATAGAGGGGATCTGACATGGCCTACCCAGCTAGCACCTGAGGAGGGATGTGGCAGGGACTCCTCATGGCCAAGGGGCTCTAAGAAGCTCAGCAACTTGTCTTCCCCACCATGTTATCTACCTGATGTTAAGTAAAAGGTTGGTGCACCGTTAATGGTGAATGTATGAAGAAAAGAGGGAAAAAACAACAAACAGGAGGCAAGAAGTAAGCACAATGGAGAATTAATGGGAATAAGAATGAGGAACAAGAGGGGCAGGCAGACTTAAGGCACCCTGGGCATCTTGAGAAACCTCAGGGAAGAGGAAAACCCCTAAAAGGATAGAGACAGCATTTAACCTCCAAGCAAGAAGAAAAACAATGGTAAAGGACAGAAAAACAGACCTAAGGGAACAAACAGTACAAAAATTTTTAGACTCACATTGGTATCAGAATTACTTTGTTCTTTTTTTTTTTCCGAGACGGAGTCTCGCTCTGTCGCCCAGACTGGAGTGCAGTGGCCGGATCTCAGCTCACTGCAAGCTCCGCCTCCCGGGTTTACGCCATTCTCCTGCCTCAGCCTCCTGAGTAGCTGGGACTACAGGCGCCCGCCACCTCGCCCGGCTAATTTTTTTGTATTTTTAGTAGAGACGGGGTTTCACCGTGTTAGCCAGGATGGTCTCGATCTCCTGACCTCGTGATTCGCCCGTCTCGGCCTCCCAAAGTGCTGGGATTACAGGCTTGAGCCACCGCACCCGGCCTTTTTTTTTTTTTTTTTTTGAGACGGAGATTTGCTCTTGTGGCCCAGGCTGGAGTGCAGTGGCGTGATCTTGGCTCACCGCAACCTCTGCCTCCCAGGTCCAAGCAATTCGCCTGCCTCAGCCTCCTGAGTAACTGGAATAACTGGGATTAAAGGCATACACCACAATGCCCGGCTAATTTTTGTATTTTTAGTAGAGACGGGGTTTCACCACATTGGCCAGGCTGGTCTCGAACTCCTGACCTCAGGTGATCTGCCTGCATCGGCCTCCCAAAGTGTTGGGATTACAGGTGTGAGCCACCGCACCCCGCCTATAATTACATTATTCTGGTGTAAAGGTAAAGACTCTCAGCTGAATTTTTTAAAAAACAGTTCTAAGCCATTTACACAAAATCCTTGGTAAGCTGCTGGGCTTTGTGGACTGTGTGGAATAGAGGCTTAGGCCATTAGATGTGAGTATCAAAGGAAAGGGTGACCCTAGAATGTGGAGGCCCTGTGGACACATAGCTTTGTGACCACCACAGAATCTGGTCACACCCACCGAGTGTTAGAAAACCTGGCCTTGAACCAAGGACTTGACTGGGCCAGCCTGAGTTCCTGAACTCATTTTAGTTCTGCTCCCTGGAGACCTGTGAGCATGTCCATGGACAGGTAGGGAGAAAGGAGTATCTGTCATGTGGCAGGAGGGGAACAACAGAGCAAGCAGGCTGTTCCATCTTCCAAAGCACTGCTCACTTGGCAGCCTGAGCTTTGGGAGGCCAAGGCGGGAGGATCACTTGAGGCCAGGGGTGTGAGACCAGCCTGGGCCACTTAGTGAGACCCCATCTCTACACAAAATGAAGAACAGCTGGACATGGTGGTGTACGCTTGTAGTCCTAGCTACTCAGGAGGCTGAGGCAAGAGAATCGCTTGAGCCCAGGTGTTCAAGGTCACAGTGAGCTATGGTCATTATGATCACGCCACTGCATTCGAGCCTGGGTAATAGAGTGGGACCCTAACTCTTAAAAAAAAAAGAAGAAGAAGAAGAAGAAGAACCTGAGCTTTGGCTGTTCAGCTCCACCATCTGCTTTCTGCCAACCTTGGGGAAATCCGTAAATCTCTGAGCCTGTTTCCTCATCAGGTCTTTGTGAAGACCAAAAGAGACGATCATCATGAGCTAATTAATCCTCTGCACAACCTATAAGGTTGGTTTCATTATTCTATTATCATCCCCCTCTTGCAGATAAGGAAACAGGCTCAGAGAGATGGAGGAACTCCCCTGGGTCACATAGTAAGTGGAAGAGTAAGGATTCAAACTCAGGTCTGCCTTGTCGTCAGACTTTACTCCTAAGCTCCCAGTGATAGTTTCTCTGTTTTTTTTTTTTTTTCAGACAGAGTCTCACTCTGTCACCTAGGCTGCAGTGATGCTATCTCGGCTCACCTCCACCTCCTGGGTTCAAGGGATTCTCCTGCCCCAGCCTCCCAAGTAGCTGCGATTACAGGCACACGCCATCACACCTGGCTAATTTTTTTTTTTTTTTTGTATTTTTTGTAGAGATGGGGTTTCACCATGTTGGTCAGGCTGTTCTCCAACTCCTGGCCTCACGTGGTCTGCCTGCCTAGGCCTCCCAAAGTGCTGGGATTATAGGCGTAAGCCACGGTGCCTGGCTCACAAGTGCCTCTTGAAGGAGGAAATTCCACAGCCATGCCCTCTCCTACCTTGAGTGACAATGGTCAGCACTCACTCTAAAGGTACCTAAAACTTACCCAGAAGTATCACTCCTGTCTGTTGGAGGAGGCAGGCTGGCAGGATTCCCTCCAGTTTACATAATTGTGCCTGGCTGCTGAGCACCTGGCAGCAGTGTCTCCAGAATTCTACTTCTTACAAACCCCACCTCTCGGTCTCTCTCCCAAGGCTGCCTACCCTCCTCTGCACCTCTCCAAGAGTGGAGGGTGACTGGTAGATGGTGTGAAATGATTTTCACTCAGGGAAGGTAGGAGGAGGGCAGAATGATTAATGTCTGAATCTGCATCTCTTGCTAAACTGCTGTGAAAGGAAATACCAAATATTTATCTAAGAGACTAATCTATCCTAACAAAACAAGTTTCCTTTAAGGACAGGGCAGTGCAGAAGTAGGAGCCTCTGAAATAAAGCTTCTTTGTATCGCTGTGAATGGGCACACCAGCAAAATCACTTATTTTTCCTTCAGGGAAGAGTCTTCTGCCCTCCAAAATCTGGCATCCTATCCCATGCCCAGTCCATACCAGGCAGAGGTCAGAGCCTGTGGCAGCAATAAAGAGGGACTTCGAGATTATTAACATCTCCCTCCGTCCTTCCAAGTCAAAAATCTGTGCCCTGAAGCTGCTGCATGTTTTGGAGTCCATGTTAAAGAGCACAGACTCCATGAGCTGTGGGGCTTGTGTTTCATTTTTCAAAGCTTTTTTTTGGATGATGATAAACTATTGTTTATTCATGAAGTTTCCTCTGCCTCTAAAATACTTATCTCTTGTCTATCTAAGGAACTTTTTTTCAGAAGCTCAGTTCAGATTGCCCCTTGCCTGCAAAGCTTTTCCTGCCCGTTCCACAAGACAGCCTATGTGTATTACATCACTACCATGTGCCAGGCACCATGACAGGGGTCTTACATACATCAACAACCCTATGCAGTAGGTACTATTTTGTTCTCATGGAGTCCCAGAGAAGCAACTGCCAATGTCACATAGCTGTGAAACAGCAGAGCCAGGACTTGAATTCGGAACTGTCTGACCAGGGAGCCCAGGACTCCATCATGATGGATGTGATACTCTGTGCCACCTCCCTGTTCTGCATGTATTTCCACTTTTGCATCATCTTTTTAGGGATCTATCTCCTCTTATGAGACCAGATTTCTTTGGTAATGGGGATCAGGCAAAGATAATTCATCTCTGTATTCCCATTGCCTAGAATAGTTCCTGGCACTTGGCAGCCACTAAATCATTCAACAGATATTCTGAGTGGCTACTGTGTGCTAAGAGAGACTTAATTCCTGTCCTCAAGGAGCTTTAGCATACAGTAAAGTAGCACAGGACATGGGACATACACATAAATAAATGTCCATAACACAAGAAAGAATGAGACATGGGAAGTGACGGAAAATAAATGCTCTGGTGCTGTGGAGAAAGATGAGATGGCGGCCCGGTCTAAGATGCTGGCCAGGTGGCATTAGAGTAGGACCCTGGAGCATACTAGGAATGGGACATGTAGGGAGTGGGGCAGGGTGCTCACAGACGGACATGGGCAAACTTGCCCTTAAAGTCCAAATAACAGCTGACATTTGAAGTGACAAACCTCTTCATGTCACTGAGGGAGACAAAGGGCCCTTTCAGACTGTGTAGAAGCTGCTGGAAAATGCTGGCCAGCCATCGGACTGTAAAGAGCCCCAGGGGCAAGATAGACCATGTTCTAACGTGGAGGCCAGTTTGGTGGGAAGCATACTGAGGCTGGACACCAGGATGAACACAGGATAAAATGATGTTACCTGCCCTCACTCAAGGCTGCCTTTTCCAATAACACAGCCCCATACCTCACAACCCTCTTGCAAGCCCAGGGCCAGAGCTCAGGAGGAAAGGCCAAGCCAGATCATTGGGTTGAAACTCAGGAGAGGTGGACATCCCCATTACATGGGGCCCCTTCCCAGGGCTCGCCCCACTCCAGGTCCTGAGAATATTTTAAAATGCTTTCAACTGTCTAAACAAACAAGAGGCACCTGAGAACCCCAAATAGGCCATGCCTATTGAAGCCACATTCACATTTCCTCGGATTGTTGTTTAATGTCAGCCTGAGCATCTGCCCTCCACACCTCCTGCTATATGGGATCATCCTTCTCATTAATACTGAAGTTAGAATGGCTTTGGGCCCATTCCATAAAGGGTGGGAGGCATCTCCTCCAACATCTCCAAACATGGTGAAACCCTGTCTTTACTAAAAATACAAAATTAGCCAGGTGTGGTGTGGTGGCACACGCCTGTAATCCCAGCTACTCGGGAGGCTGAGGCAGGGGAATCACTTGAACCTGGGAGGTGGAGGTTACAGTGAGCTGGGATCGTGCTATTGCACTCCATTCTGGGCGACAGAGTGAGACTCTGTCTCAAAAAAAAAAAAAAAAAAAAAAAAAGTCCCTTCTCAAGCCAGGTGCAGTGGCACATGACTGTAGTCCCAGCTACTCAGGAGGCTGAGGCAGGAGGATGGCTTAAGCCCAGTCCAGCCTGGGCGACATACCAAGTCCCTGTTTCTAAAAAGATTTTTTTTTTAAATGGTCCCTCTCTCCACTGGCATCAGCCCAGACATGGAACCTAGGGCTTTTCCTTTTCTTTCAAAGTCAGTAGGTGCTCTGATGTTCACCCTGATTTGGGGACAAGAGAGGTTAAGTCATAGCCAGCACATAAGACACATTGACAGTCCAGTCCCTTCATGTACCTGCCACAGGGAATATCTCCCTGGTGAGGCTGTTCCTCAGTGCCCTCAGCTGCCCTCAGGTGGCTGGTTATTCTCAGTTTCCCCACCTACTTGGCCCCCTCAATTCCTTCATCCTGGGCTTATCCCCATCCCCTCCAGAGACACACAATTCTCACTGTATTTTGCAGAGTACTTTTTCTTTTTTCTTTTTTCTTTTTTTTTTTGAGACAGGATCTCACTCTGTTACCCATGCTGGAGCTGCGTGGTGTGATCTCGTCACTGCAGCCTCAACGTCCTGGGCTCAAGTGATCCTCCCGCTTCAGCCCCCCAAATAGCTGGGACGACCACGGGTGTGCACTGTCACACCTGGCCAATTTCTAATTTCTTTCATTTTTGGTAGAGACAGGGTTTCGCCATGTTGCCCAGGCTGGTCTTGAACTGCTGAGCTCAAGTGACCTGCCCACCTTGGCTTCCCAAAGTGCTGGGATTACAGGTGTGGGTCACTGCACCCAGTCAAGATCTGTCTTTTTCTAATTATGAACTATGTGGAGTCGGGACAAGGAGGAACAGGAATTCACCTTTCTTTCCATGTCCAAACAGATTATCAGGGTATTTCCTGAAAAAAGACCATTTCCTAAGAGGAATACTGCAGCCAGCTCTTTAGATAGCAATCTTTGTCTTCTCATGATATTAATAACTACCATTTATTGAGCACACTTCTAATACTTAATGACCATGAAAGGTAGAGTCATCTCCACTTCATAGATAAGAAATGAGGCTCAGCCTGGGCAACATAGTGAGACCTCATCTCTACAAAAAATAAACAAAAAACTAGCCAGGTGTGGTGGCATGCACTTGTAGTCCCAGCTACTTGGAAGGCTGAGGTGGGAGGATTGCTTGAGCCCAGGAGATTAAAGCTGCAGTGAGCTGTGATCATGCCACTGCACTACAGCCTGGGCGACAGAGTGAGATCTTGCCTCAATAAAAAAAAAGTGGTTATGAGAAAACAGCAGATTTTAAAAGAACAAAATTGCTTAGGTGGTAAGACCTGAACAATGTTTAAAAAAATGCATGGAAGGCCAGGTGCGGTGGCTCACACCTGTAATCCCAGCACTTTGGGAGGCCAAGGTGGGCGGATCACTTGAGTCCAGGAGTTCAAGACCAGCCTGGGCAACATGGCAAAACCCCATCTCTACAAAAATACAAAAATTAGCCTGGCATGGTGGTGCGCACCTGT